ACCATCTTCGCATTTTTATTGAAGACTGTTTCGGTCGATTTCTGGTTAGGCTCGTTGTTTTTCTCAGTGATGACGAGCTGATTTTCCTTTTGCTGTTTGAAACAATGATTTCTCAAACGTTTTGAGACCTCCGGAACCTTTCAACGTTTCAAATTTTCCTTTTTTCGGCAACTCAGACGCAGTTTTCTCATGTTTGTTTGTCTTCTCGTTGAGAAGTGACCCGCATTAGCCTCGCTTTCGCGTAAAAACAAGCACTCGGTTAAGCCGCCCGGGAATACGAAACTTGATACGAAACTCTCCTATTTAGCGGCCTGAGTGTAAAATGCCGCGTTCGCCTCGCTTGGCTCCTAAAGCGCCTGTTATGCAGGTTAAATTGGGCTTTACCAGGACTCCAAGCCATAAGAGATCTTTGAGTTTATCATACAGTCTCTTGCATCTGAAAGTGTGCCATTTCACTTCGTTGCCCAGGCTGACGGACTTACGGTCAAGTGTCAACCAATAATTGATTCTCTTCTTTACTGAGACAAACTTAAAGCAAGGGACACACTGAACCCTAGCCTCCCACGCAGGCGTTTGTGGGGAGGGATGAAAGACGAGCTCCCCTAAAAACGCCTGCGTGCCGAGGCTAACACAACCCCAATCTCGTCCTCAGCTAGAGCCTCCGTTACTTTTGTCCAAAAGGATCGCGGCCTCTGGGAACGAGTTTGACACAACCCACGGCAATTCCCACGGCATGGCCAATACCTCACGCATGCGCACAGCTATATCAACCGAGCAGTGGGTGCTTTGCACTTAGACTGCAAAACAGTCCGTATTTTTGCGTATTCAAGTACGCGCGAGCAGTCAAACAAAAGGTCTGGAAAGAAGCTGAAAACAGAGAGACTTAAGACTCTTACGCCACGCTTTACCGATTTCTTTACTGATTTTGAGAAAAAAACCGACTGTTTTGCAGTCTACTTTGCACTCGTCCAAGCAGTAAAGGGTCTTTGATACTCGGGTTCGCCCGTTCATTGACCCGACGACTATGCCAGGCTGATGAGCCCTGAAATATTGAAACGAAGAAACAGCTGGCTAGGCAGTGGGTTTAGGTGAGTTGGGGTGTGTGTGCCCTTTGCTTCTTTTAAACTGATCTACTGTGGCCATACTGCAGAGCCCGGGGGGGGGTACTTTAGTAATTTCTGGGTGGGGATGTGCCCCTGGCCCCCTGGAACCCTTAACCTATACCAGAGCTAGTTCAGCTGAATTTTGCTACCCTATACTAGAGTAAACTCCCCAAATCCCCCCTATCCTAGAGTAGCTGTTTCCCAGGTCTAGATAAAATCTTCAACCAACTGATCAGTTTCCTGAAAAATGATACCCTATTCTAGACCCAAACGCTCTGATTTATATACCCTATCCTAGAGTAAACTGCTTGAAAACCATACCCTTCACAGCGGCACATACCTATATAGCCCATATATGGCAGTGCCCCCCCGCCCCCCGGGCTGCAAAGTTGGTTCGTGTGCTTCAGTTCTGAAATTTGCCTGCGTGCAGACGTCTCCTATTTCCTTTGTTGCACGCGGAAAAGGGACGTGCAACAAAGGAAATAGGAGACGTCTGCACGCAGGCAATTCTGAAATTGATATTGTTCACTATGAGCTAATGTTATGCAGGCTACAAAATTTTAACACATGAACAAACAAAAAACAATGAAAAATAAATGAACAACGACAATATAGGGAAAGGCTGCCGGCTGGCTAGTCCCTCCCTCCCCAGCCTTCCCTTGCTTGCGTAGCTGGCGGTTTTGTGGTTCGCTAAGTAAGAGTTACAGCCGCGCGAAAGCTGAACCGCGGTCAAAACAAAAAATCTTTTGCGAGGTTGAATCTCTTTCTTTACGAAACACAAAAGAAAAAACACCAAAAAAAAAGACCGTCAGCAGCTTTAATATTTACCGCCCTACTTTCCCCAGCCAAGCATTGAAATGGGACCTGGGTTAAGACCTGGGGATGAGGTTGCACATACGCATAATCAAAACATAGAATAGCTGCTGACCGATAAAAAGCCCGTAATAATCCGTGACTCGGTGGAGGAGATTGATTCATATTCATGAATGATTTGTTTCGTTGAAAGACCGGACAAACTGTCCTAAACAAGAGCTTTGCATTGGGTTAATTTAAGTTTTCGTGTTCTTTTATTTTAGCATGTGATAACTGCACAAGGTAAGGCTATTGGTTGCGTTATTAGCGTTCGCTAACATGCTTTATTAATTCTAGATATGTGATATTGATCTCTCTTGAATTAAGCTGTGAACTCCGGTCAATTTTACGCCTTGTGCAGCTGGTTTATTTGTAATTGTTCAAACTTTCGTTTATAGCAGTTAAAAGAAGGTAATTACGTTTCATACTTCCACATTTGTTAGCGATTTAAGCAGTGTTTTATTGGTTTAGACGGGCGCTTGTTGGTTGGAGCTAGACATGTCTTCTGATGGTATGGAAGTGTCTTCCGACAAGGTGAGCTTTGCATTGCAGTGCTTTTGTTTTTGGAAGTCGAATTTAACATCAGTAGTAAGTAAGAACCATGCTTATCGAGCTTTAATAGCTGGTCTTCAATATGTAAATAAAAACGTGTGCAAGTGATATTTTGGAAACTAAAACAGCTAGCACTTCCTATTTCTAATTCGTGACATTTCTTCATGTTGTTCAAGTGCAACTTAATATCCATATCTATTGTAGCAGTTCGGCTTAAATGGGACATGTTTTACATCCCGTCTAGAATGTTAATGAATTTCACGAAGAGAGCGAAATCAATTATGTCTGCGTGGCATCCTCTTCGGTAACTAAAGTACTGGATGTTTGTCTTCCCAGTGTTCCATTTTGCTAGTATATTACAATGTAGTTATAGTGTTTATTAAATTTATTACTTTGATGTTTTGTCAGTGGAATGACAATCATGAGAGAAATCGCTTTGAACAATTTCACTCCTAATATTGGCTAAAGAAAAAATGAGGAAAGTAGAACTCTTTAACTTCCACTACATACATACGTACCCACATACATGTACTTTATTAACGTGTCAGAAGATTTAGCAGCTAAGAAGCCAGTTGGGGACACAAAAGGAAAATTCTATCCACAAAAACATTAAAATAATACTTATGTGAATATGTTTGATAGAATACAAGATTTGCATTAAGGACAGTTATATACAATAAAATATAAAGATTGAAGTAAATGAATAATTTGATCACATGCATATGAATGTCATTAAGGAAAATCTATTATGTAGCACAAGGACTGCCTTTGCATTTGGCTAAAACCGCTGGATAGTTAGCGATCCTTAGCTGGCTACTTTCATGTCCTTCCACCATAACTTGTAACAAAAAGTAAGCACCATCGAACTAAAGTTGTAAAGCACCCCTTCCCCAGTTTTGAATGCCATAGAACGCATATTTAAACAGGTCTAGATCTGTGAAACGTTTGAACCGTGTGATGTCGTGGAGCACCGGGAACATTAATTTAATTTTCTATGGCATTGTTTCCAGTCTTATGTGTATTCTGACAAAACAACATGGTGTCCGCAGTGGAAAATACCTCTTGAGAGCCCCTGCAAATGCCATTTCCGAGACTTTAAATTTCAAAATGTGCCTAGACGCCTCAGCCCTCAAGAACTTGTGCCTTTGATGCAAGTTCCAAAGCCGCCTACTATTCATTATCAGCCTGCTACTTAAAAACATTTTGACAGTCCTGAGTATGTAAGGTCAGGTAATATTGCCAATTTAAACAGCTGGGGATCATGTGCCTAAGATAAACTATAACTCTTCATTTTCTGCTAGCCTTCTTACAGATATCATTGTTCATAAGCCCTAATAGTTTAAGAGCAGGAATAGCTAGAATATTTTCTCTATCAATGTCAACACATATTGATAGTTAGACCCATTGACAATAAATGGGTGTAGTGAAGGTGCCTGTTAAAACCGAAGGGAGCTACAAGCAAGCCTAGAAGGTAACCATGACAACACTGTGAGCAGCACCCACTAGGCAACGTCACACTGACAACCTCACTGGAGAAATGCACAGATACTTACCAAGACAAACATCCAAAGAGGTGGGGGGGGACTCTCCATTCAGATGTCATATATGGCCGATCAGTTTTTCTGAATCTCATTTTCTTAGTTGGCATGTGTTCCTGAACAATATAATAAAGAAGTTCCCAGTACTTGTATTTTTCATCCAAAGTGTCAAATATTTCCACAACATTCCAAGTCTTCATTAAATTTCTCCACATTCAAGCCACATTCAATGTTTTTGCATGCAATTGTGTGACTATATATGCCTTGTTTACCAGAACTTACAGGTAGAAAGTTTTATTGTTGTATGTCACAGAAGTATAGTCTTGAATTGAATTCTTCTTAATCAGTTTCTGAATCTTGGTGTGATAAAATTAGTAGGAAAAAATGAGGATGATCACTAGATCTATACATAAATGCCTTCGGGGATTATTGTTTTCAGGCTGTGAAACAATGGCTGCACTTGTAAATTACACTTGTAAAAGTTTTATTAAATGAATCCTGGCTTGACGTGGTGACTGGTTGTACACAGTGTACATTGTAGGTAATGAGTTCAAAGAGGCGACTCTTAACTAAGGTACTTACATTGTAACAGTGACTTAACAAGCCTGTAATTGAGGCCAGTTTTACTTTCTCAATTTTACCACATAAAAATATTATCATTGTAAATGTGCCTCTATGTGATGGAATAGAGTATCAGTATGCAAGGAAAGTTCTTTGCTTGAAAGATAAAAATAAAACTTCTCAGGTGTATAGAAATAAGGGGACAAAATTATTAGTTTATCAAGGAATTATTTTTCCTTAGCAGTGTTCACAAGTTTTAGTACACAATTCAAACACTTAATTTACACAGGTCTGTAATCCTTAGCAGCATGTAGAATGTGTGTTAGATTGGTTCTTTTGTTGAGTCAACTGACATTTTATGTGGTGTATGTAGTGGGATTACCCTGACATGAGTTACTAAGTTGCCATGGTGACAAGGTGACCACAGCTTGGGACATGAAATTTAATGTAGCATTCAAGTTTAAAGACCTCTGCAAGTTGAAAGTTAAAATGTACATGTATGTAGTCAGTTTTGTGTGTAAGGGACTGTAGTGTGATAAGATTAGATGAAAGTAAAAACAATATTACCATATATTGTGTGTATATGCACAGGAGCAGTACAGAAACATAGGAGATAGAATCTGGAGAAGTGTTGAAATGGAGGTAATGTTTACTGCTATTTTAGGTTATTTTTAAGGTACCGTTAATGCCATTATGATGTTATATAAAACATGTTATATTATTATGAGGCCGCATGAGAACTTTCCAAACATAGTCTGTCATTTAGCTGTAACCTCATTTCTGCAGTTTACTCACAAAAATGTAATTAGTTTTTAAACCCTATTCTTTTAAAATGGCACAGGACTTGTTTGTTAAGGGCAAACGTTTGGGAGTGACGTATGCATGACAACTAATAAACACACATTGGTGCCCCAAAACTTTTTCAAACTGTTTCTGTGGTTAGGTAGTGACCAGCTGATGACATAAGCTTCTTCTTTTATTATTTATTAACTCATTTTAAACTGAAAAAAGTCACAAAAGATTTACAGCAATTCCAAATTTACAAAACTGACAGTGATTTTGTTACAAATAGTTATGGTGAGCCCTGGGACTCATCTTGTGAAAAATCATTAGTCCCAGTCCAGAACCATTGAGTCCCACCGTCGAGTTAAAAAAATAAAAATGAGTCTGAAATTGAAAATGCTTGGGCCTTTCTGTCACCAGACAGTTTATGTGAAGACAGATTCCAAAATTCTCTATTAAGTAAAAATATAGTCCTTTTATTTAAAGCACAACAAAGCCTAAAGGAAATATGCATCGTTAAACAACAATCATAATAACTGCCACAGAAAATACGCGAACAGGCCCGATATTTCTACAAATACACATGTTCAGATTGATGATCGATCTCTACGTCCTACGGGACACATGCCGTGAATTATTTTGCGTCTTTGGGGATTTTTATGTGCCAGAGATGCAGGACGCAGAGGTAACAAAATCACTGAACTAATAAACATTGAAGTAATACTTTTTCTAATGTGCGGACTGTGTAGATAGCTAAATCCCTTAAAACCTTTTAACCTAGATTCATGACAGCTCTCTTGCCACCACGTAAATGCCACATCACGCAAAATCTTAGAAATCTAAACTTACTCTATCACAACACAAGGAACCATCTTGAAGTGAATTTTGTAAAAATAAAAGTGAAAACTCAGGAGGATCGATCATTCTTTAGTTTGAAATTTCATGACATCATCTGAAAACCAGCAATACTTAATTTGACTTTTTTAGTATGCTCTGCTAATTGCTTAACATGGTCTGACATTGTAACACAAATTACATGCAAAGTAAAGGCTTACAGAAACAGTGGATGTGAATTTTTAAAGACTTAAATTTGCATGGTTTATCCAGCAGTAATTCTTATGATTTCTTAAACACTTACCCTGGAGTTAACCTTATTGCCAATTTTAACTCTTTTATTTCTTTCATTTACAGTGTATTGCAAGCACCAAAATTATATTATACAGAGACTGTACAATTCAAAAGCATTTATTGGTTTTCTTTATATAGTGCTTTCAATTAGATCATGTTTGTTTAATGACCTTATACCTGAAAAACCTGAAATAATTTTGCATAATTCATGAATATATTGTTGTCATGAAGTAAGGTTAGTAATACAAATTGTACAATGTACTTCCAATCCTTGCTTCAAATGTTTTTAACAAGCTGCCTACAACATCCTACAGAACACTTTAAACACTGTGGCCTTTAATTTAATTACAGCTTTTACTTGTTTAATTACTTATGATTGTGACTTACTTGCCAAGGAAGGAACCATTGTTAATAATTAATGTTAACTTAGTCGATAATGATCTTCTCTTAATATGGTGTACCTGCATCAATGTAGATTATTGCTGTTAACTTTAATCATTTTCATTTTACTCCTTTATGAAGTTCATTAAAGTAAACTTTAATCTTCCATGCTAGTTGTAAGCATTTCGTCCATTTCCTATTAAAAGTATAACATACATTGATCATCAACTCACAATACACAGTTAGAATAAGGAAGAAACATTTAACCCATTAAATTTTCTCTTTTCACAGACAGTCTGTAAAAAAAACCACATAATTTCCACTCGATGCAGAGGTTTTTTCTTTTCTTTAAAGAAACTTTCTAATAATTATTGACATGTAACAAATTTTTAACTGTAAATCTATTCTTAATATTATCAATGGTGTTTTGTTTTTGCTGTTGTAAGTCAGGAGCACTTTGAATTAATTCATTTTGTAGAGTCAAGATTGAGCAATTACTGTCATGGTTGGGCATCTTGATTGCAAATGTACCAAAGTGGGTTGTGGTTGGGGGTGGGGGGGAGTGGCTTTTAAAAGCACTCTATGTTAATGTTCTTATAAAAAGAAGGGGCCTATAGACAGTCTGATATCTCTACACACTTTTTTTAAGCATGTTGAAAATAGTGCAGATGTAACGTTTATTTCTTGCTTAAGAATTAATTCCTAATACAATCATGGTTTTAACAGTCAAGATATTAAGTTAGGTAACAGATAACTCACTGAGAACTGGTTGAGAGAATGTGACATGTCATCTACTTTTAATGGACTCCCAGCCAAAAGATGATTCTCTGCCAGTGAGTTTCAGCTGTTTCTCTGTTGTCCTTTGGATATTTTACTGGTAACACTAGTGAACTGAAAGATTTGTGTGGTAGTCTTCAATCCATGCATCAAATATACATGCAATTTATATGACTGGTACATGATAATCTTTGTGGTTATGATATACTCTTCTCTGGAATCTTGTTTTGGACCACCTAAGAGCCAAGAATGATTTTTTAAAGTTACTTAAAAGAACATGGCTTTAATGCAAAGGTGGTTATAAAGCAGGGTCACCCAGCTGTTAGTGGCCTGCACACTGTTCTGATACCATGTTTTTTATGGTTGTTTCCCCTTCTAGAACCTTCATGTCAATGAGGCCATGCCATTCTCGGACTATTCTTCACCGTGTGAATCTACTTCTGATGGCCTGCCAAAAGAACAGCAGACATCAAGAGAGTGGGTATTAGAATGGAACAGGAAGAGCGATACCAGTGAAGTTCAGGAGTACCTGCAGCAGTTGCAACGTTCTCACAGCCACTCGCATCCAGAAAATGCTGACTCTCCTGAGAGTTTTAGCCGTAGTAGCTCTGTTCCAAGATATACTGGATTTGATGGCCAAGCTGATGTGGAGATGGAGAGTGAGCCTTTTGAAATCCAGAAATTAGGATGTTCACCAGGCAAAAAGTTTGTGGACGTACATCAAACTGTTGGGGAGGTGACCTCTGATAATTGCATTGCTGATGATCAGAGAGGCAATGAAAGATCTTTTGTAAGTTGCCATTGCTGAAATCTTTTTTAATACATTTCCAGCGAAATTGGAAGCACTGCTTTGTATGTCTGCACGTTTATAGTATTACATATGAAAAGGAAAAGGAAAAATGAAAATGTCGATACTATTTTCTGACCTGAATCTTTGTAACTTATAACTGCTGAATAATACAATTGAAAATTGTTGGAAACTTGCTAGTGAAATGCTCAAATATGGTTTGATTTTCTAAAATTGCAACTGTTCTTATTTGTTTTTGATATCTCCAAAGTCCTTTGTGTTGATACCCTCTATGATTACAGTACACCACAGTTTTAGCACCGCATGTTTTTTCCCCATCATTTTAGATTCATGGAGATGACCAGGATGATAGTCTGTTAGATGAAGCAATGACAGGTGCCAATCATAGTATTTTGCCCTAACAATACTGAATCTGTAATGCTAATAGAAAATGAGCTCTGTAATAAGACCGTCTGATCTGTTCCGTAAGATTTCACCCATTACATTTTGACCAGTTTCTTACTTTCAAATTACAAAAGGCTTAAATTAGTTATTGCAAATTTGGTTGAAGTTTTACTCACCTGTTCAATTGTAGCGTATGTTCATTTAGCTAAAAAAAATATTTTGGATTTAAATGCTTTAAAATTCGAAATTCTCCTGCGTCCCGTTTCTAATTAGTAATCCACATTCCTTCATGAGATGTGAAATACATACTGTGGAAGCTTTCGGAAGGGGTGTGACAGGGATGTGAAAAAGGTGTTTGTAACTGGAGCTGGCTGCTTATGAGAATGGTTCTTGTATATGGACACGTGAAGTGTAAGAATTAGATACTGGGTATGCCAAAAAAAATTGTTAATGTCTGACTATACTGTTTTTCTGACAACATTGTTAATTCAGGCACAAGCATAAAATTCAAGTGGTCTTTTGAACTGTAACTGGTGAGGTGAAAATAAAAATACAAGATTCTGAGTGAATTCTCAAGGGAGCTTAAAAACAAAGCTAATACCGTAAAATTCCGAAAATAAGCCGTGGGGCTTATATTTTTCAAAGGCCCTTTTTGAGGGGCTTATTTTTGGAGGGAAATTTGCGTTTAAAAATTGATTGGGTTAGCCTTATTCTAGGTAGGAAATTTACTGTTTTTCTTTTTTTTTACTTTGCATTTGAGGGCAATTTCCAAGTACAAGCCCCCCGAGGGGCTTATATTTGGAGGGGCAATCAGGGTTGTCATTAAGAGCTGGGGGCCGGGGATTTTTCCCGGCTACTAAGAGAGTGGCCCCCGGCTACTTTTATTGGAAAATAGAAGAAAAATAGAACCAAAAGAAATCGCTAGCCGTTTGAGCGCCAACTTGTTGTATTTACCCGGCAACTTGAAATCTTAGTGACAAGGGGCAATTTAACGGAGGGTTTTTATTTGGAGGGGCTTATACATGGAGGGGCTTATTTTCGGAATTTTACGATATGTAATTCATAAACCCTGAAAGTGTCCGCAGCTGCCTATGGGAATGTCGGCTGACAGGAATGTAAACATTCGGAGTTTGAGTGGGAGTTGAAACAGGTTTTTGTGAAGTCGGCTGCTTATGGAAGTGTACATTAGGAGAGTTTTCACTGTAGACTTTCTTACTAACAAGTGCATGAATTGTATTTTTCTTGATAGATGTTGGAGAGAATTATGTATACACCAACTTCCTCAAATCTAGGACATGTTATGACATAATGCCAAAAAGTTCCAAGATTGTAGTATTCGACACCAAACTTAAGGCAAGCAAAATAATCTGTAAAAGTTAACAATGTTTCTCTGATACAGAATAGCAATGTTTTGAACAGATCATTAAAAAACTATTAAGTTACCAGTGATTGATAATAGTAAAAACAATGAACAACCTTAACAGGACTTTTCTAGCATAGATATTGCATGTCAAATCTCATTTCATGTTAATTTCACTTTAACCTAGGTTGATTTTACTTACTACATACTAAAACAGAATAATCAATATTAAAAAAATTAGAAACTGTACATTGTGTAACTTCACTTGTACATGACTGTACTGTTAAATCTGTTCCAATGATATTTTATTAGTGAGTTTAGTGCCTTGACATTGAAGTTCTATATTTCTGTAGGTGAAAAAAGCTTTTTTTGCCCTGGTTGCAAATGGTGAGTAACATCTTAGACTTTTTGGTACTTTACACTAGTAATGGTGACAATCTGTAGTTTTGCAATGATTTTTCCTTGAAACTTTTCACAGGTATTTTAACACTTTAATATTCTTTAACACTTGCAAACTCACAAAATGCAAGTTGTGTTTGAAAGCTGTACAGTGTAAGTCAAAAGAATACCTCAAGCAAATATTCATACTTTGAATATCATGAAAAGAAAAACTTGGGTTTCAATTTGGCGCTTGTCCATGTCTTTTCCATTTGCCACGTAAGTTATGTGTACGGAATCGTTAGAACTAAATAAAGGGAAAGTGTTGGAGAAGCTCAAGGATACCTTAAGAAATAAAGTTACTAAGATTAGTGGAATACAACTAGTGAGATAGGTGAAGTAACAATGGGTTATAGTGGAGCTCAACATGTGCGCATGAGCCAAGCCCCAGACCTAAGAAAATTGGTTAGTCTATCCATGCAAAAAATCTTGGTATGTGACCGTCCGTCAGTCAGTCTGCACCACAGGCGAACTAATGTGAAATGTCAAACTTTCTAGCTAGTGTGGAAGCCTGAAAGTCTGTAACCTTTGTTTGACTGGATAAGAGACATCCATATTATGGTCAGTTGACAGCTGTCAAAAAAGGTGTCTGCTGACCAGCATCACATAACTGTATTGCAGGGTCAGGTCCCAACTCATCAAGGCCGTATGTTTTTTTTGAAGTTTTCTTCTGACCAGTTATTAGCTTTTACTTGATTGCAGGCTCAAGTTTATGTTTTTCAGTCATATGGTTCTCCCCTAAAATTAAGTATAGATTCGTGGATTTCTTCGCAATGGTTTAAAGGCCATTTTCTGAAGTAAATTCAGAATGCATACACAGGAGCTTCACTTTTAGCTCTGGCTAAATCTATATAATGTAGTATTAATATTATTGGTTTTATGTAGACCTTGAGCACATTTTAGCTGCATATTTGTGCTCTACTAGTTAAGCATAGAGAGTAAGTTCCATTTGGAAGCAGCTTTTCAGCTTTGTGATAGCTGTCATGTAAGAGGTCCTCAACATATAAGATAAATAGATGGTGAATTTACTACTTTGGCAAGCAAAAAAATAATATACTTTCTGAGTTTTGCTGGTGGATCAAAAAATTAAGATTGAGCCCAAGATTCTCTTTTTGCTTATCTCATCTTCCAAGCAGAGCAGAAACAACAGTCAAATTTGTACTTAACTTATTCTTCTTAGCAAGTAACTAAAGATTTTTATGTACAACAATTGTACATTGTTATCTACTTTAGTAATAATATAGAGCAAGAAGCTTCTTTAAAAGTTACAGTTGTATGTTCTTTTTTAATATGTGTTTAGGAGTAAGATCAGCACCTCTTTGGGATAGTGACAAACATGATTTTGTTGGTAAGCTTCCTTTGTTGTTAAAATCATTTAGACTGCAACCAAATCAAATCATGCTTTCTTTATATTCTTGTTCATATGTGCTCAGATCAGTAGAAAGATCAAGCATAACATTTCATGCATACAGGATAGGAAAAAAAAAATGATCAGTTGGCCATCTTTGTTGTGACTATTTAAATCTCTTGTCAGAGTTTTTGTGAAGAATACAGGCAATCTGTTAAGACATCTCGTTATGAATATTCTCAATGTGGAATTAACTCCTTTGATTGCAGTGTAGCATTGGATTTTTTAGGATTGGATCCCTGATAAGCAATTTAATAGAAATGAGTTACAGACAGAGTTTCGGGTACTACTTCTAACATTTTTTTTTATGTATACCGCTGGCAAAGAATTAGCATTCATTTCTGGTACTTTCATTAGGCACAAACAGCTAATGAATACTGTTGCTACTTTGCTGCTTTCTTTCGTAACATGATATAATCAAAGAAACGTTCTTTCAGATCTTGTTGATACAGTCAGGCACTCTACTCAAACCAGCTGCCCACTTGAATCTTTTGAAAGCCTTTTGTTAGAAAAGAGAGATTTTATAGAATCTTGTTTAAAAAGAAATGGCAAATCATCTTGTGACCAATTGTTGCCCATTACTTGTCTTCTACTGTTCATTTTATCTTGTGAACCAAAAAAAAAAATAGTTTCAAGTCACTGGTTCATAAAAATTAATAAAAATTAGTTTGGACAGTTCTGATCCGCCTATTTTCTAATTTGAGCAATATTATTGTCAACTTGAATTTGACATTTCCCATGTGCTATAAAAGTCGTTACAAATCTTTCGTTATATTTATTAAGGCCTTTGTTGACACCGAATTTACTACATGTTTATCAGAGTAACACTGTATTATTGCTTTGTCCGTCACATTCTAAGTAATTTTTGCATTTTGGATTTTTCTCCTTTTTTTCCTCTATAGGAATGCTGACAATTTCTGACTTTATAAACATCCTTCGTCATTATTACAAATCACCATTGGTAAGAAGTTGCTTCTTGTAGATTTTTGTTTGATATGAAGGAAAATATAAGAATGAAACAGTGTTCCAGCCAGAGTGCACCATTGTGTGAATCCCGCAAAAGATCGAGAGATGGCCCCCACCAAAAGCGTTCAAGGGCCATTATGGCCCTTTCCTTTTTTAATTGCCCGGGCTTAAAATGGTCTCTTTTACTTCAACTACAATAATTTTCCAATTAAACAGAATTTTTTATCTAAAGAACAACGATTCCGTACCTTTGTACACAACATGAAAATCAATCGATGAATCTTCTTGAGTTTACCTGATTTACCATGAGTGGTCTGGAGACCACTAAGCCTCGACTTGGCTTTTGTAATATCCCAGAAGCTCATCGGTATCCATCATGGCATCTCAATAAAGGATAAACCTGACAAACTCATCTTCGAGGTCTATCCAAAGTTTCTTCTCAGAAGTAATGAAAAAGTGGAGGGAGACGAAGCAATAATTATTCAGAATAAGCGAATGAAAGGAGATCTTGATGGTGAAGTGAAAAATGAGATGAAAAAAATTACTTACTATTTTTACTGCATACATTCTGATTGTACTCTTTGCTTTATTACCGAAGATTTCCTCTATTGTGTATAAAAAGGAACGCTCCATGTCAGCTTCAAATAATCTGACATTTTGATTTCCTTAACTTTCCAACTGCTTCTTCTCTTTTGCATATTAGAAAGATACTGGTACGTTGGCCCTTTCTTGAAATATCTGGCCCCCAAGAATGGGTTGCAGGGGCCACTTTGGCCCCCAAGCACAATTTTCTGGCTTGAACACTGATGAAATACTAGCTTCAAGAGAAAGTAGTTAGCTAGATTCATTTTGTTGGGGTGTAATAATTAGAGTATCATCGTGCATGGATTATTGGAGTGATGAGGAAGAGGTGTTCAGATCAGTAGGATGTTATTATTCTTATGATCCCAGCATAAATATGATTTTCCAAACAAACAACTTTATTTCTAGATTTTCTACAGCCGAAATCAGCGATAGAAACAAAGCAAAACGGTAGTGAAAAATGACAATATTATTAACAAATACAAAGTCAAGATTAAAATCTTACAGTTTACAAAACTGAACAAAAGTAATAAGGCAAACTTAAATGCAAATAAAGCAAGCAAGATATAGTACATTGACTAGTAAGAGCCAAGAAAAGAACTGACAAAGACGAACTAATGTGAAAAATCCATGTAAGATTTATATACAAATATATGAAAAAAACCTAATGCAAAGATCAAAGATACACAAATAATAATTGGCTCATGAACCCAAAACTGCACCGAAAGGTGCGAAAACAGGTGGTGAATACACTTTAGCTTTAAATGAAAGGCATAAGATTCTTGGGGCTTGCAATTCTTGTAACTGAAATTTTGGCTTGGGATTTTTCCCAGGGTATGGTTTTACACTTTTTGTTATATAAAAAATTACCATTATGTAACTTTGTTCAAGTTCAATTTTTATTTATCTTTGTTTTTTAAATTTCCTTTTTAGGTTCAAATGGATGAGTTAGAAGACAACAAAATTGAAACTTTTCGAGGTAAAAAATTGATATAAATTATGTTGCATCAACTACCACATTATTGCCTGTTTATTAGCAAAAGAAGAGATTTGGCTCCCTTGTGTTGATGTACATAGTACATCTTGCAGTAACAAGCTAGTAGGAGGAATTCTTCTGTAATATATGGCTAATTCTTCAAGTTTTTGGTGGGCATTTACTTCGAGGTGTTTGACCTGTGTTTAATGTTTGATATTGCTCAAACAAAATCATTTTTGCTGTAAGGATGCAAAATTGCAGTTTTTATCCGATATCCAAACCTATTAAACATTAACCTTTGAATTTTCTTTATGAATTATTAATGAGCTTGAGAAAGCATAAACAAGGCTCTATTCATAGTTTCTGTATTGTACAAGCATAAACAAGTGTACATATTCTGTTTTTAAACAGAACTTGAAAGGAACAATCTCAAAGAATCTGGTCTTGTTAAAATTGCTCCAATGCAGAGGTGAGGGGTTTTTGTGCCCTCTGATTTTCTTAGGTCCTCTTTAATAATCTTTGAAGTTTGTAAATGCAAGGTTGTGCTCTAGCAGAGCCCACAGGCCCTGGCCAGTGACTCACATCATTATTTTGCCTTTTTGTGTTCATGTTGAGCACCCTAGATGTTTAAATTTAAAGCAAAAACAACCTGGAAATGGTAAAGTGACATAACTTAGTAGAGGGGAGGAAGAGTGTAAAATTCTTGAGGATCACCTTCAGAAAAATTTGAATGATACATTTCTGAGTCAGGGATGAGTTGTGAACATAGTTGTGAAATAATTTTCTACACAGTTAGTTTGTAAGATAGTTGAGTTCAGTGTATCACTTTGAATTGTAATGTCTTGTGGACAATGATGCTGCATTCCTGCATTACACTGTACATGGTATTATAATACAGTTTTCTCTCCCTCCTTCCAGTCTCAGTTGTATTTCTCCACTGTACTGAAATTGCTTAATTTTGTTGACAGTTTGTTTGATGCTGTAAAGATGCTTGTTGAACACAAAATTCATCGACTTCCTGTTGTGGATCCACACACAGGAAATGCACTTTATATCCTCACGCATAAAAGAATCTTAAGATTTATGTTTTCAACAGTAAGTCAGTCTGCCAATTCCTATCTTGTATTTATTTGAAGCTAGTGCTATCAATATTTATTTTGGAAATGTTATTATTTACTCGTACAATGTGAAATTAAGCAGTGTTTTCTTTCAGTTAACACAGACTAATCCACCCGAATTCATGGGAAGTACACTGAAAGAGTTGGGAATTGGAACGTATCAAAATGTGGCTGTGGTAGGTGGACACACTTTATTTTATTTATTTTAATTTATTGTCATTTCTTGGCCATCATCTAGAAAAGACAAGCAAGCCCCCTATGTACTCCAATCAAAGCTAGATAATGATCTTCTAAATGGTTAAAAAAAATTTAAAAATAAATGATAATATACAATTATTATATAATTTTACAATAGAAACCTTTGAAACCAAACAGCTTTTGTTAAGATTACATGTAACTTTGTTGTGAGCTACAGAGCTTGTCATAGTGTGCTCAAACTACATGTACAGATGTACATTCAGTTCACTGAGTTGCTAATTAAATAGATTTAGCACTGTCATGGGAGGACTGGGTAAGCTTTTTTCTAACAATTTCTGCTTTGATATCTACATATTTGTATAGTGTACCAATCACTTATTATTTACTAACTTTGGTGCTTGTTATTGTAACAAACTTTATTCATGTTAGAAAATACATGTATTTCCAATTCATGTTGACCAAATGTGTACTTACATGAATTTACATTGTATCTGACCCTCTCCACTGTTCGTGAGATTTGTGTGCATTGATTTTTGTGTCTACAGATATCTCCTGAAACCCCACTGATTACAGCATTCCATATGTTTGCCGACAAGAGAGTATCTGCTTTGCCAGTAGTTGACAGTAACGGTATGTTTTAGTTCTCTGTTTTGTTTGTTTACTTGTTGTTGTTGTTGTTTTACTAAACCTAGGTTCATTTTTGTTCCATCCTTACCTAACTCCTCACCACTGATTTTCCAGGTGTTGTAGTTGATATTTACGCAAGATTTGATGTCATTGTAAGTACAGATCTATGCCCATTTTAACTGGTTTCAATGGTGCCTAAACCACTTTCTCTTTGCAATCACAGCATTGACATTTTCCTATCAACTGTAATATTTAACATCGGTTGTCACGGAATATATCAATAAGAGCAGATAACAACAACAGTCACTTGACAATACTTAATTTGTTGTAACTGATAATTTATGTGAATTACTGTATGTGAATCAGCCTATCATAACTCTTGTCCATGGACATGGAACTAAATTTCTTTGTTCCAATGTATGAGTTGTGTACTGAAATAATAATTACTTTCATCGCTGGAAAAAATAATCTCTCCGGAGAAAGTCTGAACATTGTGTTTACGTGAGACCTGGTAGCTCCCATCTGACCTTTCCAGACATCAGAGGTTGAGAACTATTACTGAGTCTGCTAACAGTTCCTTTTGTTGCTTTCTGTAGAATTTGGCTGCTGAAAAGACATACAATAACTTGGATGTATCTGTAAAACAGGCACTGGAACATAGAGCAGAGGTATTCCATCTTGTCCTTTCTTATGATCAAGTGCAAATCTGGTCCATTTAAAAATGGGATTATATTTGAGATTATTAAATGAATGGCCTCAGTAATACAGTGCATGCCATTCACTGTTTTTTCAGACTTTGAATAAAATGTCACTAGTATGTTGTGAATGTTTTACTATTATTCTGCTAATATGCTGTATGTCAGTGCAAGTGCCAAAGTTTTCCCGTGCATAATAATTATTGTTTCATTTTGTCTTGTCACCTGTTCTTACGTCTTATAACATTTACGAATTGTTGCTAGGTGCACTTTTCATCTAGTCACTGATAGTCAGTGTTTTTTGAGGCTAATCTTTCTCAGTATGTTGTGTCTTCAAAAAATAATACTAATATTGATTTTTTTACATAACAGGGTGCAAAGAAAATCATTTTTACAGCTTGCCATTTGGGCAAGCTGGACGTCATTTCAACGAGCCCCACAAACGTTTTGAAATGCAGAATTGATTTCACAGTTCTTCAGTTATGCGAATTCCTCAAAAGACATCACCTGCCCGTCGGTCAAGTTAAAAAACAGAATTCACCCGCCCGATAGCAAAATCCTCTAGCCCCGGGCTATAGGACACGACTTTCTTTGCACACTGCATAACCTTGCCAACATGATGTAGCCTGAAATATGTCATAAGTGTGTATAATTTTGAGGGGAACATTGTTGATTACCATCCAGTGAAAATGAAGAATCCTTCTACATCCTTTTATATTTCTGTTGTATGGGTACCTTGTAGCTCATGAACAAGTTCATGTTTCAAGTTTTCAAGTTTATTTTTCCTTATTTTTAAAATACTCAACAGCTCTCTCATTGTTAACTTACAGCTAGCTGTAAGTCAGTGAATTATGTGGCAACAAGCTCATGTGTTGCATAATATTAATTGATGACTTTCAGGGATTTGAGGGTGTACACCGTTGTTGCTTGGATGAAACCCTTCACACAATAATTGATAGACTGACTGATGCAGGGGTGAGTGAGTCCAAGACATGTTTAATCTATTTACAAGAAAAATTATTTCTTGCTGTGGAAATAGGTCTAATGCATCCCTGAAATCAAGCCTGTGCAGATTTGTTCTGCGTGTGGTAAAATTTAAAATGAAAGGCAATAGGCAATTGCTGAGTTCCAAAAACTCTTACTTTCAAAACAAGACCAAGTGCAAACTCTTTCTATTGAAAATGAGTTTTATTTGCATGGGTATAGAAATTTATTTTCACATCAATGGCTTTGTACTTAGCCTCGCTTTGAAACTGAGGCTTGAGGCAACTTGGATATGGCCCATTGTGATGCACTCTACAAACTGCAGCTATGTCTGCAGGCTAGGTTAATCAGACTTCTAAATTCTGTTTCTGCCTCTCTAGGTTCATCGCCTTGTTATTGTTGATAAAGATGATCGTTGCATTGGAGTATTATCATTGTCTGACATTCTTAAATTTTTAGTCTTGAGGCCAGTTGGTATGTCTGCTTTCTTATTTGAGCTGTAATTGTAACATTCTGTTGATAATGTTGATTTTTGCAAACCTTTTATCACATTGATTTGGCTTTTCCTATATGGTCAAATTATTTAAAATATTTAATTGAAAACTTTGAAATTTCAGTTGTAGTACTAGACATACAGTTTCGTAAGTTTCTGTATTTTTGGTGTTTCCTGATTGTCTAAGTTTACTTGATGTCTGTCTTCCTTGTTTGTGATTATGATGTTTCTGCCTTTAAACCTGATTTCCTTTTTTCTTGATAGTATAGCTTCTCAGTATTATAAAAGATTAAACAATTTCTTACACAAAAGGTATAGTACAGGTACATAAAGTTGTCCTAACCTCTTTTTCATTTATTTTTCAGCTTTACAATCTGCCACCGAAATTTAGGGTTATTGACTCTTACCTCTTCATTACTGGCAACAAAAAAGTTAAGAGATGGTTTTAGGGATAAGAAAAGGTTACGTTAGTGCAGTGCAGTGCAGTGGAACCTCTATATAGCGAAGTCCTTGGTATAATGGACAATTTTCTTTACCCCAGTAATTGTAAAACATATGAAAAAGAACCTTGATATAATGAAACCTCGTTATCGTGAATAAATTTTGCCATTCCCTTGGTCCTTTGTTATATCGAGGTTCCACTGTACCATTCAGCAGCGTATGAGGAGCCCACACAGAGTTTAACTTGTGTTAAGTGTTCTTGCAGTTGTGGTAATGAGTCATTAATTGGGCCTTTAGTCCAACATGAACAGAGAAAAAATTCCTAATATTCTGTGACGTGTGCGTTGCAGCTGCTTAAAATAACGTAATTTTTGCCCTCTGTTTTGCCAGTTGCTAACATTAGATTCATGTTAATTTTCATTTTTGACACACTGGCTGGGTATCTAAAGAAAGGCTGCAGTGAAAAGGTTTTTTGGCATATCTGTCACATTCAGGGCACTTTCAAATAAATGACAGTAGTCAAGGACATGAAAAGTCTGAAAGTCATTTATTTTTCGGACATAGATGTACTATAATAATGTTCATGTTAACTTGGAATTTATATAGTAGTGAAATGACAGATATATAAGCAGTTGGTGGCAGAAGTGTGAATCTTGCTGACCATTTGTAATGTTATTCTGGAATGCTGACTGAGTGTTGTGTAAAATAGATTAACCACTTGTTGAGTTGTAAAAATATGGTAGCATGGATGGGCATAATGTTAATCTCTACGCACAGATGCTGTTTTGCGATTTCATGGCTGCTATTCAGGATCCAAACTAAACACTCATCAGCTTTATGCTCATGCTTGCATCTTACATGTAGGTCACATGCTATTAATTTATGCTGTATGTTGTTGTTTCTGTTATTGAATTTTTTTGGCCATTTTACAATCATGATTTTTTTTGTGGTTGACACCTTTTGCTACTTATAGTCAGAAAAAATTACTCTGGTAAAACAAGTTCAATAAAAAATAAAATATGATACATATTTTGATATAAGATTTAAATCAATCAGAAACAGAAATTAAAATATGTTGAATGATTAATAACCACAGTTATCATTCCTTTTAAATTAAGTCCTTTTAGTTATTGTAGAAAGAGGAATGCATTTTCATGTATGTTTTTTCTGATAATGAACAGCAATAGGTGTATTATTACAGTGATTTTGAAAACCACTTGGAAACATATTCAAAAGCTCTTGACTAAACAGGTTTTAATTTTAATGGCTTTGGGGGGGTAAAAGAAATGGATTTTAGATTATTAATGCAGCTTGCTTGCTTGCTTCTCATTCTTCCCTGCTGGATAATATTGCCATTGTGGAACATAAGGCCTGAGCTTGTAAGGCTTAAGTATTTGAAGCTAAATGTACAGAACCTCACACTTGGCAAAACTGTATTAATAGATCTCATCAGGAGTTCTGGATTTTTATTGTGTATTTTTATGCTGTACTTATGGTTAATTTGAACTAAACTTTAGTTTCATACAAAAGTTTAATTTGTTTAGGAAATTTAATAACAGAAGAAAACTAATATTGAAATTATAAGATAACTAGTAAACTATTTTTACATTCAGTATTTATAAACTTCCCTTTGGTAACTTGAGAGTAAGTACATGTTGCTAGGTAGTTTTTAATGTTGTTTGGTCAGTGCTTTTGAACTAGCCACAGCTCTTGAAAGAACAGTGATATAAGAAATGCACTGTATGTCCATCCTGTTTGTTTCAAGCAAGGTTTCAAAAGGGTATGGTGTTTGTATTAAACAGAAGGTTGTAGTTTCTTATTTGAAATAAATTATGGTGACAAAGTTGCTGTCTCCAGAGTTTACTTATTGAAGTTTGTTTTTACAGTAAATATATACACTCTCCTTGAATTAAGTCGTGTTGTAGGAAGTCTGCCTGGTAGAGATAAAAAAGAGACAGTAAACATGCGGTTATTAGCCCTTGGCTTATACAACTTCATAAGCTCTAAAACTTCATAAAAAATCGAACTCATTTCCATAAAAGCTAGAGAGAGCTTACAATGTCTATCCGGATCGAGGGTTTATAACCCACATATATCTTTTTGTTTAATGTTAGATGGGCCTCTAACTGGGGGGTGGGAGTTAAGCTTATGGCATATATTAAAAAAATTAGATAGAGTGTTCTCTTTTAATTTCCAGACAAGAAGTGGGCTGAAGGAATTCAAAGCTCCAGTTTTCAACATTTTGTGGTTGTTAAGATCTGATTTCCATATGTCCTTTGCAAATGTGATCTTTGTTTTCTGTTCATGAAGCATTTACGAGTCACAGAAATTTGATAACTCAGTTATAAAGAAAACTGTGCTTAAACTCTGTTGAAATGGCTGCGTAACAGAACCCTAGCTATGTATTTTTGTGTGGTAGTTGTCTAGAAGAGAAACTGCTTAGCAACTTAATGTCAAGAAGATATCAGTTTTTTCCTCCTTGTTTAGTTCCTATTTTGTTATTTCTGTACACCCCCACTACCGACATAACATATCCCAATACCACTGATTTCAATATGTTGCTAATTATGTGATCCAACCTTTGGTAATGGGAGTTACTGGAATGATGTGGCAGTAAGTTAGGCATGTGTTAAGTTGTATTATTAACTAACAAAGCTTTGTTGAAATGATAAATATACAAATTTCAATAGTTTTTGTTGGTTTTTATTAGAGACCTCCAGTCCTGATTGAAGTCTTACAACAATACACTGCCTAATCTTTCAATTAACTAGCTTAGCCTTTCATATTATGGACTATTATAATTTAAATTCATTCTCAATTAAATAAATTTTATAATTTATTTTTGTGTTGAACACTATGTATTCTAAACAACTGAAAGCAGTCCCTCTGCAGGTTTGTAGCATGGGTGATGGGCTCAACTAGCTGACTGAAAAGGTACTACTGACTGCATCCGGCAGAACTTGGGATAATAATCACATGTTCACGTACCTGCTTTACTGAGCTGAAAACACACAACCCATGTCAGCTGCACATTTTATAAACAGTGAACTTTATTGCTAGAACTGTGAAAGGTTTGAACCCAGGAGTCATTTCAAAAGTAGGTCGAGTTTGATCGTCCGGGTGAACGTAGTCCTGAATAGGACTGTTGTTGTTGACAGTGACTGATGTTTCGACAACCTGTGCGGTAGTCATCTTCAGAGTCAAAGTGAGTTGTATCACCAGAGTATAATACCATCAACTGACGTGATACAACTCACTTTGACTCTGAAGATGACCACTGCACAGGTTCTCGAAAGGGTAGTCACTGTCAACAACAACAGTCCTATTCAGGACTACATTCACCCGGACGATCAAACTCAACCTACTTTTAATGCTAAAATTATTACGTTATACCAAGTGAAAAAAGGCACAATAAAAGATAAGAGGTTCATGCCAGCTTCATCCCTAAGAATAATTTGGGACAGGTTGGATCTGCTCATTTCCTTATTTGAGGGATCTGACCTTGGCCATAGCCCATTGCTCTATGTTTTAAAAAGCTCTTGTCTTAAGAGAAGCGTGACACTGGCTTATGGTGTAAACAAGTCAACAATAATGTACTCTTCATGTTACATTTCTCATAATAACAATTAAATAATGTATCAGTGGAGTTTATTTCTTTGCAACTGCTATTTAAACAATAGACTGAACTTTCTCTCACATAGTCAGTGTCTATGCACATAGACCAATTTCAATATTTTATAATTTATTCATACTTGGCTCCGACGCTTGGGTGAATAAAATGAAAGAAAATTATTTTTTTATTCCTAAATCTTACTGCTTTTTTTAAAAAAATTTTTGCCAAAAAGCCTCACAGCAAAGTATGAGTTTGAACACAATGAAACTGGTCTATTTTCTCGAAAAAAAGTGAAAACTTTATAGACTCAAGGCACATTTTCCGAACTGCCGCTGGGAAAAGTTTTCCACAAAAAAATAGTTCAATTATTACAGGAATTATTTGGTTCACCAACATGGCTGCCTTATTACTGTTTTGGCACAAAAAATATAGCCTTTGTGACTACATGTGAAAAACTAGTTATGATATAAAACAACATTTCAGAATACAAATTGTTCTAACCAGGCAGTTAGTATAACTTTTTACAAGTGTGAAATGTTTTATATACAAAAATATCTGGAACCTAAAAATTTACTTCTATTTTTTATTTGGTAATTATCCTAATCATAAGTAAACTGCCACTGCTGCAAAGGATGGTCATCACAAATTGCCATCTTGATAGAATTCTTTCCAGTAGCAGCCATGCACATACCAGATGCTGTGTGGTATATCTGCAGAGTCTTCTGAAAGGAAAACTTAACACAATGAGTCACATCAACTTACAGCATATTATGATGTGCACCTTATTTACATCGTACAAAGTCCAAACTTGAGAATCTGTGGACAACTTCACTATAATGGGGACTTCTTTGAAATTTATTATTTCACAGGGACATGTACAGGTCTAAGAATTGCATTTTTATGGACCAAACCAAAGTCAACATCAATAAGAACACCAGAAAAGACCATGGCCAACATCCAGCCATCTTGACCACAAAAGCTTACTCAAAGGCTTAATGATACAGCCTAGCCTGCGAAAACATCCGTTTCTCCTCGCTCTTTGCCGCCGGGGACGTTTCGCGAGGAGGAACGTCTGCAACTCAGCGGCAGAAATTCCATGCTGATGACGCAATCCAATGTTTACATAATAAATGCAGTAGTCATGGGGTTCCAAATACAAATTTGTCCAATTTTACGTGTCTTCTGGTTGATTTTGGTAAAGTGTGGTGTTCATCTGCCAACGAGCTCCAGCAAAACTCAAATGCTTCTTCTAGAGAAGACTATATTTCCACAAACATTGACTGTTTTGTTACAGATTTTTCGCGTTTACATTTCACCGTTGTGGCCTTTTGTCTTTTGTCTGTCATTCGTAAACAATAGCTAAAACAATGTAACTACTCCGTCGACCAATCAGCACTTCTGACTGGATTCCGGACAGATTTTATGTCATCAGTATGGAATTTCTGTCGCTGAGTCGCAGACGTTCCTCCGCGCGAAATGTCCCCATCGGCGAAGAGCGAGGAGAAATGGATGTTTTCGCAGGCTAGATACAGCCAGTTCATATACAAAATTGCAACCAGTTTTGAAGGACTTTTCATTTACAAGAACCAACTACCAGGATGGAACTATGAACTATGAACCATTTATAATAATTTTGACCTTTATGGGAATATGGGCTAAAATTCAAACAAAGGCAAACTCAAGCTGAGAGTTGAATGTAAAGAAAGCTTAGATCTGTAACTACATGTGCTTGAATAAGTGAATCGTGTAAAAATTCTTATTTATTGACTTGTACAAGACTAAAAAACATGCATTGTGAATGGCAGATTGAATTATAATTGAGCTTCCATCACTATGAAAATATAATATAGTTGATTCCTCCAAGTAATTCCTATCCCTTAATTAAGGGCCGGCTCAATTAACAGCATACACATACCTTGTTATGGTACCACAGCTGTGTCCCTCCTTGACTGTGACATTTCATTACTTTTGGTACTTCATTTCTGTTCATGTCCAAGCAGAGAAGACTGTCTATCTTCAACTCATTTAGTTCATTTAGAGACCAGAACTGTAACAAAGAAATATTATGTTGACAGTCAGTGACAAAATAGCCTTTCCAACAGGATCCAATATAAACCAGACAAAGTTTATCCTTTTACGAACAAGCCCAAGTTATGCCATCATGATATTATAGCCAAAGAAGTGCAAACAGTAATTTTGCAAAAATAATATATTTCATTTAAAATCTAGTTTTTAAATGCTATTTCAACAGCTTAATGACAGCAATCAAATTTAGCTGAGTTTAGTTTAAGTTACAATGTTCCTCAAAGCTAACACCTCATTGCTCAAACAATAAATGAAGGGTTTCCTAAAAAAGGGGTGCTTTGTAATGACCTAGTAAACAGTCACAAGGGCCCATTTTCTAGGGAACCCAAGTCAATCAGTTAGCAATATTATTTGTAGACACAGGTTGTGGTCTTCTTTCATGGTTATAATCTGTGAATAAAGAACTCACAATCTGGAGCACCCATGACATGTCTTTTGACCTGCATGCATTCTTTGGTTTAATGTATTTGCAAAATTAGAATAGTTTTTTGCTAAACATGTCTTGTCGTCACCTTTGCATTTGTCTCCTGACAGTTGCGCAACACAACAGCAGCTTTCTTTTTAGCCACATGACCAGGAGTGTCCAGACACATCGTGCTGCCCAAGTTCTGAAGCTGTTAATGAATAAAATAATTATTCACAGGGTGAGAGGAATATTTTAAGAGAATTGCTTTACAAGGTTGGAGTAGTCCTAATGGCCTACTAATCTCCCTTTCTACTTGTATTTCCTCCTTTTATATCTTTGCAAGTTGGCTGCTTTCATGCCTCCTACATTGTACGGTTGACTCGACCTGCTAACGCGAACCCTCATACTTAATCAAACCAAAGTTGATTTAATGATTTCCCCTGGATTTCCTTCATACATTACTGTAATTTTAGCCTTGGTAACTTGAACCTCCTGCTAACTTGAAGTAATTTTTGTTTCCCTTCAGGTCATTTCTATACTGACAATTTACGCTTGATAACTCGAACCTCGTTTTAAGTGCGTGACAAGTTGCAAAAAGAAAACAGTGTTGTGAAGACTAAAACATTGAATTTATTTCCAAACAATCGCGTCACTTTTTTGTTACTCCAGTTCAAATTCAGTGTCCATCCCTGTATATTAATCAAGCTTTGTTACTTAATTCCTTTTTCAAAATATCAATCTATATCTCTTGCTGTTCTTGAAGTGTAGTATGCATGATACTTGTATTCCCTCCCCTTCCATTTGTTTATTTCCTTATTTCTGGTTATTTGTTTCAAACTCCTGATAACTCGCACTTTTTATTATTTTCCTAGAAGGTTCGAGTTACATGTACCAGGATTTTATTATTTTCCTAGAAGTTTACACTTTTTGCCTCATTACATGTACCTGAGGATAAAATAAAAACTCTAAATATTGAAACTGTAGTTACTGAAAATTTAATTACTATTTTACAGAGAATGTATGGCCCAATTTCGCAGTTTTTGATGGCTGTTACGCTGCTGTGCACTAGCCCTGGGCTTTTGGACACGGCTTCAATTTGTTCAGTTAATGAACCTTAAACAAATAACAAAGATGCAAGTTCATTGAAAGTCAATAACTGGGCTTTTTTTCATGCTTCCCTTCAACAATTTCCAAGTCAGGGGCACAATAGCATTCATTGATTCTTAATTTAAAATGAAATATTGCTGTTGACTAAACCCTTTTCCAGTAAAGCTGAACTCCAGATCTCTGATTTATGACATCAAATGCAGTTCTTGCACGTTGCTGTGTAAGTTCCTCACGCAGTTATGTTTTGGTATGCTTTAGATTGTTGTCCAAAGTGATGCCTAACTGCATCCACTTTTTAGTTAAATGAAACAGCTAAACAGACGTTTACTTTTTTGTAAAGGTTATCTTTACTCATCATCTAAAAACATGTTTTGCATCTCCAGCTGTGTTATGCTTGCAGTGCAGCTATGCAGGTTAAACCTAGATCGTTTATACATTGTTTATATCACTTTATACACAGCAGCATATGGCAACATGCCAGAATTGCGTCTGAAGTCAGAAATCAGAAATCCCTAGTTCAAACTTTGTAGGTCTGTCTACTGAAATGTGAAGTGTGAAGTGTGAAGTCTGAGGTCCCTCATCATCTTTCATAGTGAAATGCATGCAATACATAGTTTCACAAATAAAACTGTCCCTGATTACAGAAACTTACGTTGCCCTTCTCTTTGATGATAGGATTCTTCTCTGATGGACGCTGCCATGCAGCACCTGCTTTACCATTGTCAGGAAACCGCAGTTCTGGATAAACATTCTCCACATACCATCTAAAACTCTTGCAGTTCAATTTCTTTCTTAAGGCCACTCTAGTGCTCACATTTCCAAATGGCCTACCAACTAGATTTTTCTTGACTTGATAAAAGTACTTCTTATAGTCATCGAGCCAAACTTCTGCAACTCTCATTGAGTTATATGACAGAGTATCACCTTTGGAGTCTGAGCCATATGGCCGCCACCTTCGGAAGAGATGTCCTACTCTAGAGCATGGAATTATCTCTAATGTTCCTCCACACATCCAAATCTATAAATAATTTAAAAAAATAAATTATTAATATGCACAAGGCAGGATGAGAAAAAAATAGAAAAATTATCTTGGGTCTAAAAGAGGCAAATGTTTTCTTGCTTCTCTAGCAACTTGCTATGGCAACTGGACAGTAGTCTAATGTTCTGCTATCCCTGAGGCCTCATTTTTGTGAAGCCAGCCTATTCTAAGATGTTTCTAGAGTATGGTCTTTATTATTCTGAACAACACCCCATTCTGAGATATCTTCTACTTCAGGCACCTTCACTAATCCAGGTCAGGGCAACTGGATGCATGGTGGGCACTTTCCTTTTACTTAGAATGTAAAATTAGAGCAAGATAGACTGATCCAATGAATCAATTAATGACTGCTGAATATGTTTAGCTGTTTGCTTGTCTGATGTGCTTTGACCTGAGTTGGGGGCAGGAGAGGGGGCTTGAATGAGAGGAGAGTGCCATGTCATTTGAGGTATAATCACTGAGAAGCTCGTGGACAGATGTATAAGTCATACAATGTAGTTAACAAGGAATTCTGGGAAACTGCATGGCAAAAAAATGGTGTGACAGTTGAGCTGCAAAAGACACCTATCATTCTTACCCTGAAAGAAATTTCCAAATTTTCACCACCCCATATATCCATGCCTGCATCATACTGACCAAGTTCATTGAAGTAATTTCTATTTATTGCAAACAATCCTCCAGCCATGGTGGGTGACCTGTTAGAATGAAACAACAACCACAAATTTGTTGGACTTTCATCTTTCCTCATACATGTATCACAACATTTAATGTTGATCGAGATACATGTATCAGAAAAGATGAAAGTATAACAATTTTAACATTTTATTGGTTGTAAAAATAAATATTGCTCACACACTGAATGCCCATTGGCTGCCACACAATCATCACAAAAAATTTACAATGGACAAAGGAAAAACCTTTCTGAACCTTTTAGTAATACAATGCTGTCAAACTAACACACACTTATTAATTTTTTGAACTGGCAAAGGGTGGGAGGGCAGGAAAAAGCTGTTGCACTGAACAGCAAAAAACAAAAAGAGTATGGAAACTGATAGCCTAAAATGTCATTTGTGCCCAGGTTCCATAAGGGTAAGAGAACTTCATTTCACGCCTCTTTCACCATCCTCAGAGACCCAGGGGCAGATAGTGGGGGCAAGAGAAAGTCTAAATGGGCGGAAAAATATGGCACGAAGAAAAGTAAAGAACGGCGACAAGAGCCCCTGGGGACAATGTCTTACCAGACCAGTTCCAAACGGTAGCCGCTGTTCTGCCTTCTGATTGGGCAGAAAAACACAACCGTTTTCTGGCACCAATCAGAAGTCAGAATGGCGGCGACCGTTTGGAACTGGTCGGGTAAGACATTGTCCCCAGGGGCTCTTCTTGCCGTTCTTTACTTTTCTTTGTGCCACATTTTCCACCCGTTTAGACTTTCCCTCGCCCCTACTATCTGCCCCTGGGTCTCCGAGGAAGCTCTTTCGCAAGCTCAGCCAGTAAAAAAACATACCAAGGTCTTTAAAAAAAGATCAGGGGCCAGAATTAGTGGAATACAGTTATCATGTAGGTTGCAATCGCTTCTAAACCTTTAACTAAACAGTGCCATGGACTAGCTTGGAATGTATCCTATCAACAGGGAGAAGCAGTGCTCCAAGGTGGTTGTTTTATGCTTTAGTACATTGAACATCTGAATAATATCACTTAACCTAAAAAGTTCTTTTCTACCTTATAGGCTGGGATACATTCCCAGATGGATCAAGCAAATGGTTTGGTACTGGTTCCCATGAAAAATGAAGTCCCCAGTTAAATCCTCCACGCACAAGTGGCGATGACTGGTATTCCAAAGTTTCTGAGCTGATTATGTCAATCATTGGACACACCACTGTCTTGGCATTATCCTTGATTCTCTCCAAAAGTGGTGGCAGCCACTCTTTATTCACTTCACAATGACTGTCCAGAAAAACTAACACTTCTCCAGAGGCATGCTTTGCTCCTAACATTCTCCCTCGTATAAGCCCTTCACGCTCTACAGCCCTAATTAATTTAATTTTAGGAAATTTGGCTACATAGTCTTCAAGTTTGCCCTTTAATTCTTCCAATGTGCTCTTATCATCAACCAAAATAATGTCAACAATCAAATTTTCCGCTGTGCGATCAAGAACGCTGTGTACTGTTCGTAGTAATGCTGACCATGCTTCATTGTGAAAGCAAATTATCACACTAGCAGATGGCAAATTTGATGGGTAAGACTTCAGTAGACACCTAAAAAACAGTTAAACAAATTAATATTAAAACATAGTTTCCTCTAAAATTGTGGTCCAAATCTATTGTAGAAGAGTAATATACATGTATTGAATGAATTGGGGACCAAATCTTTACTTATTTCTTTCTTCAAGCAGTCCCATTGAGAACTCCAATCATTTTAGCAGACTGTGGTCTAACAGTCACCAAAAGCCTTAAGTGACTTCAACTTGCCATAAGACAACAAAGAATCACCTACAAATTATCTTAGTTTTGCGCAAAAAATATTTGCTAGGCACCCACTTCGCTGGGTTAACAGCTATTGCACTCCCTACAATTTTATGAGAGCATCTTGCCTTGATCCACGTATTGCTTCAGACACCACCTTCTAGGAGAGGATCATTTAATTATAATATATAGATTTAGCCAGGGGTAAAAGCGAAGCTCTCGATAATATTTATAGTTTGTTCAAACAAAATATAAAATTGTGTAATGCCAAGCGGCAAAGGCATGCAACGCCGGAAAACGGTGAAAAACAACAATATGTCTAATTAGCCAAATCAACTTTGCATGTGCAGCCACGGTTGTCACTAAGATTTCAAGTTGCCGGGTAGTCGTTGTTAGTAGCCGGGGAAGTCGCACGCAGTCTTGGCAAAACTAAACTGCACAACTGGTAACATTAATGGTCTCGAATTTATGAATGAAACATCACTTAACATAGGAAGAAAATGACGTATGGAAAACCCTTTAAAAGACAGGGCTAATACTTAAATAAACGACGCTGAGATGTCAAAACGAAACTCAAGGAGAAGGATGCAAAAGTAATGCTAATGCTTAACTTCCCTTTTATATATAAACTTCTTGGAAGTAGAACTGAGAGGATGTGATCGACCTGCGGACAATGATCGAACATTTCCCATTGACCGTGCGTTATTTTATATACTTGATACCTAAAGCTAAATGTAGACCTGGTCACTTAAATGTCAATATATTAAACCTGGCGATCAGTCATAGTCTTCATCTTCAAAGCCTTCATCATAATCCTCATTATCATCAACATCAGCATCAGGGAGATTTAATGCTCGGATGAAGCCTCAACTGGTGATGTCAACAGAGATCTGCTCAGGCCTTTCATCGTCAACAAAGAGTGCAGAGTCCTCTCCCACTTCTTCGACATGTTCAACACAAAGCCGACACAACGGTTGAAACTAGCCGGACTTTTAGCATTGACAAAGGTGACCGCAACAAAAACGTCACTTTTAAAATGAATTGGCATTTTTTCCAACTTTGTCGCGTTAATTTCAATTCGCTGAAAATAGCTAATGTAGGTCAATTTCCCTGGAGTTGATTTCTTTGGGACCGCACTCAAGTTTAGAAAGAGAAAGAAAAGTTTGTCGTCACTTGTTTTACATCCTCCATAAAACGTGAAACTAGGCATTTTCATGTTGTAGTCGTGCAGTAACGGCAAAGAAATGTACAAAAAAGTGTGACGCACGTGCAAACTAGTTGTTTTGCTCAATAACCTTATTGCTTTTTTGATGTTCTCGTCGCCGTCGCCGTTGCTAAAACTCCCTACCGACATTTCGCGAATAGAGGGTTTTCGTGCGGAAAAGCACGCAAGTATTTCAGTACTTATTAAGTACTTATTAACCTGCTGCATATGAAACTTGCATTCAGTTTGATGGATAGTCTTTGTGTGCTTCAAAGGTGTGCTCTTCTGGTTTAATTTAACGACTAAAGTAGCCGGGGGCCATGCGCTGAGTAGCCTGGGGAAGTCCCTGGCCCCTGGCCCTTAGTGACAACCCTGTGCAGCACACTGTTTTGTACATTTCCTTGGCATTGTTTTGCATGACTACAACATGAAACTTCCAGAAACTTCTTAGTTACATGTTTTATGGAGGAAATGTTGTGTGTGTTCACTGCCGCTCATTTTCACCTTACATTGGTGGCTACTAGCATTTTCTCATTTTGTCACCCCCGTTACAAAATTTTCATGTTGTTCTTCCAACAAAAAAATGTCTCCTTCAGTTTTTTTATCTCTCGCTCTAAATCCCTGTTGCCCTTTTTCTTGTTGAACTTCGCTGACCTGCCACCCACTCTCTCTTTTTCTCTGTGTTTCTCTTGCTGTATATTCCAAATTTGTGGACATGACAATTTATCTATGCTTAATACTTTAAACAACATGGATACAGAAAGAATTCCGCCTTCCTCTTTATTGACTCTTTTGTTTTCTCTGCTTTACAAGACACTGGTGGCTATGCGATTTCCCACCAGAATAACCTTGAGTTGCATTTGGGTTGCCATACCTGTGTCCCGTGTTTGATACCGCGGATGAGGGACACTCAGGGCATTAGAATATTTAAAGAGATGCAAAATAATATTCTGGGTTCTTTTAGAATGTGCACATGAAAATTGCAAGCATAAAGTACGACATATTAAAGAAACTGTAATAAATGATATGAAAGTGGAAATGATCCTCGCAGTTGAATAAACAAACTAAGCGGTTAAAAAAGAACCTGAATAAATTCAGGCTTGACCGGGAATCAAACCCGGACCTTTTCAATGACCGCCCATAAAGATAGTCAAGTCACCAGGAGAACAGGTCAATGTGTGTATGTATTATACCTGATGGGGGAAATGGCATAAATGGAAATGTATAAATGACTTATGTTTTAAACTGCGGATAAAGATATGCAAGTGGAAATGATCCTAACAGTTGAATGAACAACCTAAGCTTAGGTCTGTAAGTTTGTAAATGCAATAAACGTCTGAGTTTAAAGCCTACGTCCACACAAGAAGGATATAGCGATAATCTTAAACGGTGATTTTGGTCTGTATTCTCCAGAGCTAGAGAGGACACGTTTGTGAACAGATATTTACATATCATTGTGACATGGACAGTGGTAAACTACCCATAAACTTGTAAATGGCTTCCGGTGGACTTAAGGTGGGCACACACTAGGTGACAAGTTGCAGCAGCATGTTGCGGTGACACGTTGCAGCAACAAATCGGTCTGTGTGTACTGGAGAATTTATTGTAGAATTTTTGTCACTGCAACAGAATTTTGTCACCACGACAGGTCACACAAACTCAGTCTGATTTAATTTTTTGTGACTTATTGCTGCAACAAACTGATGTTGCAGAGATAAAGATTTTCACAAACATTCTCTAGTATTCACAAACTGCAATGTGTTGCTGCAAGTAGTTGCCTGACCTGTACACACGGAGTGATCTGTCGCCGCAAAATGTCGCTGCAACTTGCTAGATAGTGTTTTCCGACCCTTAGCCTTGACATAGCATACTTACATTTCATGTCTTGTATCTTGTATTTCACGGTGAAAACCTAATCTGTTGCTTATTAGCTCATTAAAAGCATGCTTTCCATAACCTTCCTCTCGGATCCTTTCATCTTCATGACTTCGAATCATGCCCAGCGTGCTAATGATGTCCTCTTGTACCAATTCTCTCTCAAAAAAATAATCTGTTGGGCTGTCATTTTCAAGATGCCTTCTCTGACCCCTTATTACATAATTACTGTTACCAGTGTACATGAAGGACATAACATTGAACAAAATCCAGAATGTCAGAGTCGCAAATGTGGACAAAAGGCAATAACGTGCTGGTAACTTTAAACCCATGTCAACTGAAACTTCGCCAAACCCTTTGTCCAGTGCAAACCACTATCACTTTCGCAGCGTGCGAACTGAAATAATTTTACCGGAATCGTGTCACTGAAAAGCACAAACTGAGGCATATCATAGCACATTCAAAATCATCAAATTCCCCCCACTCTCACACGCCATTCTGATACGTTTGATCTTGTCTTCATGTGTTTAGTAAAGGTACACGTGCACGTCGATCAATCCAAAAATCTGCAAAAGAAAATGTATTAGTAACGTAAATAACAAGCGAGTATATTAGTAAATTAAAGCAATACAGGGTGGCAAATTATTTTAACTCAATACAAAAAGCTTAAACTTTTATTTTCCCAAGCTAGCAGAACGAACAAACATCCTCAAAACTCGACAACAGATTGAGAAGCACCTAATAGACCTTGTCACGGTTTTCGACGCCATCTTGACGAGTAGCAAACGTGTGACAAATTACAGTGTTTGTATGAGAATCTGATGTCGAATAATTTCCGTAAAACGGCTGTTCTGAAAAAAATATGACTTGTAAACTACGAAACAAAGGATTGTACTAAAAAATTGGGGGCCTACCTGTGCTTATTAAAAAATGCCTCCAGAGGCTCGCTTTAGATTTTCAAATACATTTGTCTGTAATTTTTCCCGGGACTTTAACTTACAAATGTATAGAAAATTTTAAAAAGTGGGTCTAGGTCTTCTAGGGCATGTAACGCCCTCAATTTTTTTCAGAAGAATCCTTAGGAGTGAAGCTTTAGTTTACAATTCATATTTTTTTTGGAACAGCCGTTCTACGGAAATTATTCGACATTACATTCTCATACAAACACCGTAAATTTCTCACGCGCTTGCCTACTCGTCAAGATGGCGTCGAAAACCTTAACGGGGTCCACTAAGCTTACTATCAAAATCAATAGAACAACCATAACAAAGACGAGGCGTACCCTAGTCCCAGGAGTTTTTCCTAGCCCGAATCAAATGAATGGATTTTCACACCACATGTAAGAAACGTTCTAGACTATAAACCAACCTTCTTCCCGCCAAATTTTGAAAGTGAACACAAAACAAGGCTATGATTTTGTACAAAAGAAGAAACATACAATCCCGACAATATTATCCTTGGGTTGGAATATGTAGTGGTACGACTTCTAGATATAAAGATGACCTCTCCGCAGCGCATTTAAGTCCATGTGAGAAGGGAAATATACATGTATTGCTTTGCATACTGTAAGGACCTCGACGAAGTGAATAATCGATCATCGCGTGAACAAGCATAACGAAATCTACAATTCTATTGGCTGATATTGATACGTGTAGTTGCTGTCATGGTTCAATCACGTGAGAATAACATGCTGTAACCTTCCCGAAATCCTTTCCGTTCTGTACTATTTGGAGATGTTCGGAAAAGTCCGTAAGTGGTCGGGAATTTTCGTAGATCACATGGTACATGATCGCCGGCGCTGCACACTCACAATTCTTCTCCGCCATGTTGGTTCATGGTTTGCGACGAGCGGCAAGAACCGCTGTGAGATCTAACTTTGTTGCTCGCACCTTAAGACAAACACAGAGGAGAACACTGCCAGTATGTTCGCAATTGTGTAAGTAATAAAATTATTGTGTTTACGCATTCCTTTTGTAGATAGGAGTGTTTCACTGAGACGCGCACGCCGGGAAGCCACGTTGAGGATGTCTTTGATTTTAAGTCACATGCGATGAAATGTACCCTGTATGAACCTCCAATTTGATTGCTTTCAAAGTCATTTATGTTAAAATTCTGTTTTTGTTGTGAGTTATTATGGAAGAATTCTCGTTTATGGCATCATGATCATTTGTACTTATATTGAACTTTGCATCAAGTATTGCTGGAGCTTGGCAAGTAACTTACGTTTTTTCCTTCATATTTATTCATCCAGATAACCGCCGCTATGTTTCAACCGATAAACCTGTGTCTGCCGCAGCTGCCGCTGCCTCTCCTAAAACATCGACACCCGCAGCGTCAAAGCCTGGAGCTGTTGGAAAAATTATTGCTGTTATTGGTGCCGTTGTAGATGTTCAATTTGAGGAGGGTCTCCCTCCCATTTTGAACTCACTGGAGGTGGAAGGCCGTTCTCCGAGACTTATCCTTGAAGTCGCTCAACATTTAGGTAATAATGGATAATTTTCGTACTTTTTAATTTGAATTGATAAAATGTGACTTAAATTTTGATATGAGAAGATATGTAATCGCACGTACCCCTCCCCTCACCAACATTAGAGAACTTGAGCAACCACGATGGCAACGAGAACGGGAAAGCAATAAGTTAAGACTGGTAAAACAACAGCTGTGCACATGCATCACGCTTTTTTGTACATTTCTTTGCTGTCACTGCCTGACTTTAACATGAAAGTGCCAAATTTCATGTTTTGTGGAAGATGTGAACACATGAGGACTTTCTTTTTCTTTTCCTGAACTTTGATACTGTCTTTTAGAATTCAACTTCAGAAAGGTTTGCCAACATTTGACGAGCTGAACAAGTTGGAATAACATAATAAATTTTGAAGAAGTGCAAGTTGACTTTTTAAGTGACTTTTTCGTAGCCATTGCCGTCATTTTTGCTTAAGCTCCCTATTTTCATTCCTTCACGCACATACTTTCTTCCACATTTATATGACTAGAATACCATACAGTGCCATGGTTATATGTATGTCAACTTAGTTACATCACTGGACCACTCACTTACATGTATAGTTTACAGTCCTGTGGTAAAGTTTGTTTGGTCCTCATTACAATGTAGGTGAGAACACTGTACGAACCATTGCTATGGATGGTACGGAAGGTCTCGTCAGAGGACAAGTGTGTAAAGATACTGGAGGTCCTATTACAATTCCAGTTGGCCCAGAGACATTAGGAAGAATTATTAATGTTATCGGAGAGACTATTGATGAAAGAGGCCCCATTGGTACAGACAAGTAAGTGATCACTGTAGAACAAAATCATTTGCATTCCTGAGGAAAACTGTCTATCATAACCCTGTGATCATGTGAGACATCAACAACTTCATCTTTAACCACCATTTTGTATCAAAAAATGTGCAAATGTAGCTTATTGATTACATAGGATATCGGTATTCTTTCTGAGGTAACTATAGAGACTGAGGGTATGTCCCAGATTGAACATAGAAGCAAACTTTACAGCAGTAATAATTTTTCAAGAAGGCTGTGAAAAAGTTCCAAAATCTCCTTCAAATCTTACAAAAATTTTCTGCAATTGTAATGTAAATGAACAATCCTTCACTGTACTTCTTTGATATATTCTGTTCTCTGGATGATTAAACTTTTGTAGACGAGCTGCAATCCACGCTGAAGCACCAGAGTTTGTTGAAATGAGCACAGAGCAGGAAATTCTTGTTACAGGAATTAAAGTTGTGGACCTTCTTGCTCCTTATGCTAAGGGAGGAAAGATTGGTATGTTTCAGTGGCCTTTGGTGTGAATAATACTGTAGTCAATATGTCTGAGGGCATGAAGAGTCATCCCTTACTCTCTGTTTGAACACTCTTTGAAATCTTTTAATATTTTAATTGAAGGGCTTTCAGTCATTGCTAACAATGGCTTCGGGCTGCAATGTGCCTTTACTTCATCGACACTTGTGTGCTGATTTAGGTTTGATATTGATGTTTGAAGTAGATGACATTTATAGAAGACTAATTATCATGAAAAAAAATTGCAGCAATATTCCAGTGATTTTGTTACCTCTGCGTCCTGTGTCCTTGATGCATAAAAATCCCCAAAGATGCAAAATGAATCATGGCATGGGTCCCATAGGATGATCAATTGATCCATTGATCTGAAGATGTTTTTGTAGAATACCCTGTTCATGCAATTTCTGTGGCTGTTATTTCATCTTTTTCTGTGCTTTGAATAGAAGGGCTATATTTTTATTTTAGGAAACTGTAATAAAGAGATTTGGAGTCTTTCTTCAGATTAACTGCTTGGTTACATAAGAGGCCCAAGCATTTTCAATTTAGGACTCAGTTGCTTTTAGAACTGGGGCTCATTGGTTCTGTACTTGGACTCATGTTTTTTCACAAGATAAGTCCCAGGCCTCACTAGAACTATTTGTAACAAAATCACTGTAACACGCGATCAGTGTTGGAAGTTTTGTATGTAGACATTGCTGCCTAACAGAGAGAACTTCAAGAATTCTTGAATTGTATTGTGTTCATCAACTGTTGATGTGACTGTGTGTTGATATACAAACTGTTTTTCTTTGTTTGTCATCAAGGTCTCTTTGGAGGTGCTGGTGTTGGTAAGACTGTTCTTATTATGGAACTGATCAACAATGTAGCTAAAGCTCATGGTGGTTACTCAGTGTTTGCTGGTGTTGGAGAAAGAACACGTGAAGGAAATGACTTGTACCATGAAATGATTGTATCAGGTGTCATCAGTTTGAAGGATAAAAGTTCCAAGGTAACAGATTGTTTTACAGGTAGCTATTATGACTGCTGAAGGAGGATCATGAGGCTATCCCTATACTAAGATCTCTCCTTACAGATAACCCACCCAGCCCGGGAAAGGTTGGCCACACTACTGTGGTGTACATCCCCTACTCCTTTCAAACAGTGGTGTGGGTCTTTAACTTCCCACAAGAACCAGATAAGTGAAAGTGCTGTGAGATGGGAACTACAGTTTTTGGTCCTTATCCAAGAAGACTAGAATGTGTGACCATTACTTAAAGACCCCGAATGTTCATCCGGCGACCTTCCACTCAGCAGACTGGCGCGCTCCCAACTGAGCTAACCAGGTGGTAGCGTTGTAATTATTGTAATACAGATCATAACATCATTTTATTGTAAATTAATACTATTTTTGAATTGTTTGTTTGAGGTGGCCCTTGTGTATGGTCAGATGAATGAGCCCCCAGGTGCTCGTGCTCGTGTTGCTCTGACTGGTCTGACTGTTGCCGAGTACTTCCGTGATGAAGAAGGACAGGATGTGTTGCTTTTCATTGATAACATCTTCCGTTTCACACAAGCTGGTTCTGAGGTCTGTGTATATTCATTGACTTGTTTCTTCAAGTCAGTCTGGGGTCAATTTTAATAAAACTTTTTTAAGTGTTATTTACAAGTGTACACAATGTAGCTATTGTCTTCAGATATGTAAATTACGCTTGTAAAAGTTTTATTAAACTGGCCCCAGTACCCTGTGGCTTTCTTGCTACATAGGTTTAAATGAGCTTTATTAATCATAACGGCAAACTATGAAGATGTTTTGATTCTTGGTCTTTAATATGCTTGCAGGTGTCTGCTCTGTTGGGGCGTATTCCTTCTGCTGTTGGTTACCAGCCAACTCTGGCCACTGATATGGGTACTATGCAAGAACGAATTACCACAACTAGGAAAGGATCTATTACATCAGTACAGGTAAATTGACAACATTATCATTTGCAAACCATGTTCATACTTATTATATTATAGTAATAATACTATGATAATGTACAGTGTAACAATGATTTGATTTGTGACTTGGCTTGAAAGATAGCATGTTACAGTACAGTTAAGCTTACATGTAGTTTAGGATTAGGGTTATTGTTAGGGTTATTTTTTACTTCATAAATCATGTTTGTTGAGTTATGTTAACTTTTAATTTAGCCAGGATTAATGCACAAGTTAAAAATCATAGTACTTGAATCCTGTGTACAAGCAAGTTGTTCACTTCTCTGTGACAGATTTTTATTTTGTTTAATTTAACATTGTTTTGTTGGTGTGAATGGGGCTTAAGTTTGGTAGGTAATAAAATGTGTCAAAAATGTTGAGCATTAAGAGGTGCTTTTTAATAACAGAATTAATGAGCAGAAACTTCTCAGTATTTACTGTGTTGAGGGGTGCTTCTTGAAAGAATGTATGAAATCAATTGAACTAAATGTACAACTCAAACACAAGGACTAGTTTGGCAATGCATTACCTCAGCCTTTGGCCGGTAGCTATTATGATAATAATTATTTAAGATGTAACAAGTAAGCATTTTGGTTAACATTAGTTGTTTTCCTTTACTACATCTGTAGGCAATCTATGTGCCAGCTGATGACTTGACAGACCCCGCACCTGCCACTACCTTTGCTCACTTGGATGCCACTACTGTGCTGTCTCGTGGCATTGCTGAGTTAGGAATTTACCCAGCTGTAGACCCTCTAGACTCTACATCACGTATCATGGACCCTAATGTTGTTGGACAAGAGCACTATGAAATAGCCAGAGGTGTACAGAAGATCTTACAGGTAACAAAATAAAGTCATCTAGTTTTTAAGAAAACAGGCAAACATAGTTCTCGATGATGGTAATTTCACAGGGAAGTGATCTTAGTAATGATAGCAGTTACATAAAAGAAGATGGAGAATTCAAACACCAGAATGGTCAGAAAAATTTTCCAAGCTCCAGTTGAGAATCAAACTCACGACCCTCCGTGTTCTAGTTCGGACTCTCTAACCACTGAGCTACTGGAACTCTAGTGGCGAGCAGGGTCAGAATTCAAATACATGTTCACCAGACTTAAAGTGTTGCATCGCGGACTTGCTTGAAATTCGGCCATCCACCATTGACAAACCCAAGACTGTTTATTTATACATGTGTATTAAAGAAGATGGAGAATTCAAACACCAGAAAGCTCAGAAGAATTTTCCAAGCTCTAGGTGAGAATCAAACTCAAGACCCTCTGAGTTCTAGTTTGGGCGCTCTAACCACTGAGCTACTGGAACTCTAGTGAGCAAGATTGGAATTTTAAGACAAGTACACCAGACTTAAAGGATTGCATTGGGGACTTGCTTGAAATTTGGCTGTCCACCAGCGTAAAAGCCCAAGACTGTATATAATATGTAGAAAGCTGTAGACTGTAAACACTGGTTTATTATGACTATAATTATTAATCTATAATACTTATAACAATATGCAGTAACAAAAATTTTATTGCAATGTTGCAGTGTACATTAGTAAAATCAAGTGAATCAAAAAATTCTACCCAGAGAAAAAAAATTGGTTGTGTTCTGTAAGGAAATTAACATGTACATATCAAGTTTCCAAGTGGTTTGAGTGTTGTGTGGATGTTGTATGGGTCAGGGGTTTGAGTTCTGTACAAGCCTGGATTTTTCCTGTCTTTCTGTATGCAATTTAAGTAGTTATCTCTTAAATGGGTGTGTTTTTTTTACATTTTATTTTATGCGGCAAGTGATCTCATATTTCAATTTCAGGATCACAAATCTCTACAAGACATCATTGCCATCCTGGGTATGGATGAATTGTCTGAAGATGACAAACTGACAGTTGCACGTGCACGAAAGATCCAAAGATTCCTTTCACAGCCTTTCCAAGTTGCTGAGGTGTTTACAGGTCATGATGGCAAACTTGTTCCCTTGAAGGTAATGTTTACATTGTGTCATGTAGTACCTGCTACAGTATTTGTACTTTAAAAGAGTGTTAAGAAATGTAAATAGTTTTTAGTTTAATTTTTATATATTCATATATTAGTCTGTATTTTTCCTTTTTGTTCTTTTTAATTTTTGAGGACTCTTTTGTAAATCACTTATCAGTGAAATTGATATCCTCAATAAAGACTATTATTATTACTTTGTTACTCGGTTTATGCACCACAGTTAGTAGTACCAAACAGTTGTTACAATTGTCATATATGTACATGAGGATTGAGAGAGCAAGCCACTGGAATGGCGTTAGAATCCAAGGAGTGTCGGTAATCTCCAAGCCTACCTTGTGACTGCTCCTCTGGTACAGGTTTGTCACGTACCTCAACATTTTACCTCAAAACTCCATTGGATGATACTTGTACAGCAAGCAAGACCATGGTTTCATGTAAAGATTCTTTACATTTTTGTTAACGTTTCTTCTTGTGGTTTGCTTTTAACAGGACACCATCTCTGGATTCAAGAAGATCCTCAATGGTAAGTTTTCCTGATAACTGGTGCATTTTGTTTTAGGAGTTGTGTTAAGAAATTGAGCTCAATTCGTTCAGTAAGAGCTGTCCAACAGATTGAGCAAAACATTAAAATAATCGCTTAAAACAAAGGAATTAAGGAAGGGAGCCAATACAAAAAAGCACTGACAGCGATTCTAAAAAGATTGAAGTGGGTTGCATTTGAGGTTTTGTGGAACTTTCCAGCCTAATAGCCTGCGTTCCAGGTGGCCCATGCACTCGTCTAAACCATTAATATATTCCATTTGCAAAGTAGTGCACAAAAGCTTGTTCTAATATCCTGCAGAGTCGCAAGGACATATGTGAGTGTTTCTGATAGGTGGGTTTCTGACAGGTTTCTTATGCGCCTCACGATTGGCCTAATTCTTACGTGTGCGTGACGGTTGAGCGCAGTGACATGTCAAAATTCACAGAAGGGAGTTGGCAAGGATTGTTTACAGTAAACAATGAACAAGCAGTTCTAGCGTCAAAACAAAGTAGGAAATCACGATATTCCCGGCTAAAAAAAAAAAAAACTACACACATGTAGCTATTCAGGTCATGCATTTAGGAGAAAACCAAATAGACTAAGGTTATTTAGCCATAGTAAAAAAGCTTAAGGCTTCAACGGAGGTAAAAGAAACTGCATCCGTGATCAAATCCTGTCAGAAAACATTTGCCGAAGCATAAACCACAGTAACTAATTACTCAATATGGAACAGACCAGCGTCATAACCTCTGAATGTGAGACTCAAAGCGGAATGGGACTTGATCCTAGCAAGTGTGCTATACATGATGATGTACTGTGGAAATAATTTGTGTGATTATACTTCTACTAGGTGAATATGATCATCTTCCTGAAGTTGCTTTTTACATGGTCGGAGATATCAGTGAGGCTGTAGCCAAAGCAGAGAGATTAGCAGAGGAAGTGCAGTAAACACTGAACAGCTACTGTCGACGTTAACCACACTTGTAAATGTATTGCGTGTTCATACACTTGTTGTATGCTTGTTTTTTTTACATCATTGAAACTTGAATAAATTGAACTTTGAGATCCACTGAGTCCTAAGCTCTTTTGCTTGTGGCGATCTGTTTGTAGCTTGTCGCAGAGGTCAGTTATGAATTTTCTGACTTTATGGTATAAAATCACTCTAGAAATCCTGCGTGCCCTGATCACATGAAACTGTGGTTTGGTGTATGAATTTGACCTAAAAAAACGTGGCGATTACTGCAAAAAGGGGATATAATCAGAATTAAACATTCCATACAAATGTAGATTCTACTAAGAGACTTGTGTCAATAATAAAATGCTTGAATCTGAGTGGTTCTTAACAGCCGATATTTATAATGGTAAGAGGAGTGGAGTCCAATTCGGTCTGTAATCATACGAGTGATTAACGAAATCCGCGCGAGTCCGATTTGTTTAATCACAAGTATGATTACAGACCGTATTGGATGACACGAAGTCCTGTTACCAATTAATCATAAACGTTACAATTTCCCCATGCACCTTGAAATTCCTTGAAAAATGCAGTAGGTGCTGGAAAGTCCTTGAATTTTAATGCTAACTTTATAGTTTATGTAGAACTCCAAAGAAAAAGAGCAAACACAGAAAGACCTTCGGATAGAATTACTTATGTTGTGGGAGAACTGAAAAAGACAGACTAAGGCTCTTTTTTGCAGTGAATGGAGTCCTTGAAAAATGGGAAATGTGTTCTTAAAGTCCTTGATTTTTTGTTTTTTTTTTTCTAGTGGAAAAGCATTTGTACACCAAATGTCCAAGATTACGGAAAATGTCAATGGCGGATGGAGACTGCCGTTACAAATTCGTCCATTATGGAAAATCCCTAGTTTGGAAGGGAAAGTGGTTGCCGCCACTGTTATTGTGATAACTTCTGTGATTGGTGGATTTAGCCGAGTGCACTTAATTTGATTGGCTAATGTGACTGTCCGATTACACTGTTCAAGTACCACCCCACACAATGATTAGTGAAAAATAAAGCAGTTAATGCACCAATCAAATTTGAGGAAATTGTAATGGTTATGAATAATAGCTTAATCATAACTAAAACAAAATTCTCAAATCTGGTTGGCCATCAACTGCCCTGAACATAACAGTACGCGTCATCACGCGCGCGCTTAAATGGCTTCTTTTCACTGCTAGCAAAAAAAGATCTTGGAATTTCTTGTGTTTTGGTTTAAAAAAGAGCCTTATATATCATAAATTTTGTTTAAGTTATGATTCATTCATTGGTAACAGAACTTCGTGTCGTCTAATCCGGTCTGTAATCATACTCTTGATTAAACAAATCGGACTCCTGCGGATTTCGTTTATTCACTCGTATGATTACAGACCGAATTGGACTCCACTCAGTCCTGTTACCATTACTAATTTTGCTATTGAAAGCTGTCCGATTACCAGGAGCTCGTAATTTAACTAATTATAAAATAACTGAGATAGTACACGCGATCTGATTGGTCAAAACCTATGGTTTATTATACCGGTAAACCCATAGAAAAAGGCATCCGGAGCACGAGCCATAAAAAAAAACGGGCTATTCAGGCCCGTAGGCTGGTTTTTGCCTGGGTGGGTTCTTCGGCTCGTGATTTACAAGCTTTTCTCGTGTTCTCCCAACATCCCGCGTGGGTTATCACGCCGGTAAACCCATAGAAAGTGTGGTCTATTGCTTAAATAGCACATGATAACCACCCAAAATCAATGAAAATATATTGACTGGATAAGCTGTCCAGCTTCAACTGGAAAGGTTTGTGCCATGGAATCTGTAAGCTGTCGAGACAAGCTGTAATTTGATGCCATTACTTTTCGCATTTTGTTAAAATATTGACGCATTTTAATAAAAAAATGTATTTTTGTAAAAAAAAAAAACGTTCTGCGGTCGGGCTTCCACACATTCCGATAGTTTCATCCAAAGCTGTAGCCGATCATGCTTGCTGTGGAATCTTTCTCTTACATTAATAAATATTCCAGGACTGATATTCTCGCATTTTGTTAGTGACACAATTAATTGGTAATAGGACTTGGTGGGGACTTGGTGTCGTACAGTTCAGGGGTAATCGGGCTCGATTTGAAGTTACTCGCCCGATTGTTCCCTGAATTGTACTCCACTCAGTCCTATCACCATTCTTAGCATCAGACTCAAGGCGCTTAAGACTAAGAGCATTTGGTGAGCAGCAAAAGCGTTCTGTACGAACATGTGGGTTTTCGGATGTCATTTATGAGGACCGCTTTTATAATTGTGTACTAGGTGAATCAGAGAAAGCACTTTAAGTTCCAGTGTCAACAAAAGAAATCACTGGATCAGGAGCGTGGAAACTGAATTGAACTGAACACAGTAAATAATACTCATATTTAATTCAACGACTTTATTCACAGTTGCTTACTAATAGATACAATCAGCCTTCGAATGGTGAGGAACAAGGAAAGAAGGCTGTATTCGCTCGGTGAAAGATACCATCTCTTGTCGCCCGCAATAAAGGGAACATTGTCTATAAATATCCTGAAATCCTGTTAATTTGATAATTTTGAATGTTATAGTCGAAGGTAATAAATATCTTTGAACTGGAATGCCACTTCTTTGCGACGGCAATCTCGAGACGTTTCAGTGTTCAATCGCTTTGCTATGCAGAACATTTTCTTTCGTAAGGTTATTTGTCTTGATTCTATAAATGCTACCAATTTTCGCCACGGCTACACCAAATTACAGTGGAAGTTCTCGTTAACGCCCATCCTGGGGACGCCAAAAAGGTGTTCGTCATGGTT